GACCGAGTTCCGGTACCTCGGTGGCCTCGTCAACGAACATGGCGACCTCACCCGGGAGATCAACTACAGGAGCAGAGGAGCGTGGGCGTGCCTCAGGCGATATGGCCGGTAGCTCTTCGACAGACCGAAAGCGCCATTCCGACTCAAGATCCACCTGCTCTCGGCGGAGGCGATGGAGGCTCTGCTGTACGGCTGCATGACATGGTCACCACTCAGCGGCCATTATCAGACGCTGCGGTCGATACACCACCGACTGCTCCTTCGAGTTATCGGGTACAAGCGCAAGAAAGGCACCTACCGGCAGCTCTCTTACGCCCAGACGCTGAAGAGGGTCGAATGCCAGCGCGTTGAAGCCACGATCCGACAAAGAAGCCTAGACTACTGTTCGCGGGAGCATTTGCAAGGCAGCCGAACGGGCGACTCCCGAAACGACTGACGCTCGGCGAGCTGGCGGGGGGGAAGGAGCGACGTAGGGGGAGACCNGCCCAGACGCTGAAGAGGGTCGAATGCCAGCGCGTTGAAGCCACGATCCGACAAAGAAGCCTAGACTACTGTTCGCGGGAGCATTTGCAAGGCAGCCGAACGGGCGACTCCCGAAACGACTGACGCTCGGCGAGCTGGCGGGGGGGAAGGAGCGACGTAGGGGGAGACCGGAGCAGAACTGGCCGAAGTGTGTGCTTGACGACCTGAAGGCATTCGGGGCCGACCACGGATCTACGAAAACCGATCCATGTTGTCTCGGAATCCCAGTACCGAAAGACACGGCCCCGAAGCAAAGTGGACGGAAGCCGTGAACGTGGAGGGGGGACTACCCTGGCATACGGCGGTGCTGCAGGGAGCTGAGAGGTTCATGACCTCCTGGCACGAGAAAGAAGAAGAGGCCAGCCGACAACGAGCGCTCAAACGAAACCACAAGCCAACAACCAATGTGGCGGGAGGGGGGCAGGAGACGGACGAGGCGGCGCAGGAAGAAAGCAAACGAGAAGAAGCGGACCGAGTGGCGCGATACGTGCCGGATTGAATTTCTTTTAGCCAATCCCCCCCCCCCAACGCTGCACCATTGCACCAACTCCCCACTAGTGATGACTTACCATAACAATCGCTGGTTGGTGGCCATGTTTGCTTGTTCGTTAGTGGTCTCTCCACCGTGTGTCTCTTTCTGTCTCTCATTTCTTGTCATTTTCGGCCTGGTCCCAAGGCCTTCTTGTCCTCGCTCGCTTTCATTTTGTTTCTCTTGCCTGAGGGATTTTTGTTCTCTCTGTTTTCCCCTTTTCTCTCTTTTGTTGTCTCTTTTTCTGTGCCAGATGGCCTTGTCTCTGCTTGCGTTGTGACGTACCATATTTGAACCAAGGGAGTGTACATCTTTCTCTCCGGCCCTTGATGGTGACTCGTAGTCTCAGTTACTACCTCGCATAGCGCGCAGAGGGAGTGGAGGACTCCAGAATATCTGTCGTTGCTTTTAGTACTATAATATTGACTTGCGGACCCCTCGGGGCCAGTTTATTGAGTGTACCTTTTTAGGGTGAGTTTACCTGTGACCACGGGAACCGACCGCGTCGAGTGTTGGATCAGTACGGACATACGAAGGTAGTGGGTAGAGAGAGATCGGAACGGTTTTTAATTTGAAGACAACAACAAAAACAACAACAGTAGGTGAAAAATAAATTCTTCGGGCCTTTTCTCCTTCATTTTGTCAGTATGACCCAACGAATCCATATCTATATATAGAAAAGAGTAACGATAGATTAGGGTTAGGGTTAGATTAGCAATGGATCCATAGCGGAGAACGCATGAACTCAAAGGGTGCCCAGTTCAGTGCCCAGCTGCACCTGCCTGCATCGAAGTTCACTCAACAATGGTGCAGCGGCAGCGGACTTGAAAGTTAGGTGCTCGGGGTCGCCACAATTAAGTTGTCGGCTGGGGACCTACCGGAAGATACTTGGAGGACATGGTAATCTATTTGTTCGAGGTGCCAAAACCTATCCAACGTCCCTCCTCGTGCCTCTCCCCTCTCTCTCCGCAGTGATGGGTTTTTCCCCTCGACGCGCCCACCGCTTGCCGGAGCAAAACCCTCCTCCACCTGAGGCTCCAAATGCCTCAGGTGCTTAGCTTGCACAAAACTGTGATGATGCACAAACTGGTTAGGCGAGACCCCAAGCGGTATCTTTGGGATATGTAGCACATTTAGCTGTTGCTTGGTTGAACTTAAGGGCCATGCTGAACTCAACACGGCCAGTCGATACCGTCGACAACGGCCGACGGTCGGCTGTTTTGTTGGAAGACATGTTCAACAGCCATCAACAGTCTCTTTCGTTAGCGAAGGTTGTATCCGGAACGAGAGACACCGAATTTTCTATTTACAACAACAGCACACCATGGTGTGTGTGCAACGCGCGTTGCGACACTTCTGCACTCTCGACATTCGGAGCCGTCAAGTCGAACAACTGCTACAAGTCAGGGCGGTACGCGGCCAGGCTTCTCCGGTGGTCAACAAATTCTGCCTCCTACGATAACTGTTCTTCATCCTGAGCGTCGCGGTCCTAGCGACAATGGCGACGATTCACGCGGGTAAGCGCCTGGACTATTGCACTCTCCTCACCATGGAACAAGTCGTCCGAAATCATTTTAGTGTACTTAGTCAGGCCTTAGGTCGTTGGCAATTCCCCTGCATCAAGAATTGCAAAAAGTCACCACTTGCGGTGGTGCACAAACCTCGAACTTTACAGGGAAGCGGGGCTCATCTTGCCACCCCTTCCCCTTCCTCTTCCGCGGCCTTCCCCATCGCGTCCCCCTGTCTTTTTTCCACCCCCGTGACCGTCGCCGATGAACTATCCGCGTCACCCCCTCCAGCCATGGCTGCCTTCGCGTACGCACCCTTAAGTTCGTTGGACAAGGCCTCTAGCTCTTTCTCGAGCTCTTTTCGTTCGGTCGCGATCTTGGCCAAGGCTTGGTCCACCTCAAGGTCCATGGCCGCTTCGTCCTATTCACTCGCACACCGACGTATCGGTCGGAGGGGAGGAGCAAGGGAAGTGCCACTTGGGATATTGTATGAGTTGAAGCGATTTGGAAGGGTTGCCGGGGGCACGGGGGGGCTCAAACGGTCGTGTTCTAAACCGCACGGTACTCGCAAGTCGGAAGAGGGGAGAGGGAACACATGCCGTGACGCGGAACTCCTACCTGTCGATTCTTGCTGCTTTGGCTTGGCTAGTGGCGGTGGCACACATATGTGCCTTGCATGCGGTGCTTCTAACGATGTTGGAGTGATGCCAATGCTTGCTGGTATCGGCAGTCCAGTGTCGGTAGTCCTGCTGTTGTTAGCATTATTGCTGGTTGTGGTGCTCGTTCTGGATGTGCTGATCACGTGCTACCTCCAGAAGACCCTACTCAAAGAAAGCATCTAGCTCTAGACTACAAAACCCTACATGGTCTTGATGAGTGACATACTTCAGCATGGCTGTTGCCAATGATGGTCGATCGACCATTTCCGTCTCTCGCCGCAAAAAAACTGTTACTACTCCCGTCCACTCTTTCAACATGATTGCAATTTTGGAGCATGCCGCGGCGTAGAGCCGGCCAATGTCCTAGGGCGAGCACCTAGTTTCTTAGATACTCAGCTCATGAAAATCTAAATCCTTTTTTGTCATCGTTATCATTGTCCTTGCCAGCAAAACGCACAACGTTCAAGGAATGTCATCATCGTCGTTTTCTTTTCAGCGCCGATCAAGGCCGTACGCCATGTTGTGTATCGTGTGACCTACCGCAAGTGACCTTCGAGCCAATCCTCCGAAGAACACCCCCCCAAACAGGACAACACACCGTGAGGATGAGACCCAAAGTCGCGACATCTACGAGATAACTCTCGCCAATAGCCTTTCCGATATCGTCCCACCACTCGCAGGAAGCTTGCAACCTCGGGTGGGGGAAGCGCAGTAAAATGGTCGAAGACTCATGCATAAACGGGTTTTTGGCGTGGCACGAAAGAGAACGCCTCGCTGCCGTGGCCCAAACGCGCAGTCACAACCAGCCCGGGGGAGGGCGTCATTTAACAGCCAGCCGCGGTGTCATACCTGCAGCATGACAGCGAGCTTTAGCTCCCGTATCTGACGAAGAAGGCCCTCGCCAGCCGTCGCAAGACTTGCCGTCGCCACATTGACCTGTGAAGCAGAAAAGCGGATGCACACCACGGGTTGGGTCAATTCGATGCATAATGGGCGCCTTTGGGGTGCTTAGATGGAAGAGGAGGCAAGGGGGGCAAGGGTGAGAGCCGATAGAGGTCGCATGTGTTTCTCGTTGCGTATACCTACCAAAAAAAAGTTGAGTTGCTGCGAACCATGATCAACGCCTTAATACGACCACACACGTTACGGCCGAATCGATCGCCACTAGGCTGAAAACAGAGAGCAATCCAACTTCGAAAACAGACATGTGCCGCAGCCGCTCTTTCCACATGCACGCCATTCTCGAGCCCGGTGTATGCTGCATACATACGGAATTACAGGTGGGCCACCAAGGCAATATAACTGATATGCAAGGTAGATCCGTGGTCAGCACACAGATACAAAACGGTTTCGAAAAGGTGGTGCTCATCATTACCGAGGTAGCTGCATGACCGCTACGTCCTGCCCACCACATCGCTGACGCTTCCCCTGACGACACATCACGAATCGTCGAGTCTGCGAAAACACCACCTCCGACTTCACCTGAAACTCTTCTCGTTCGGTGCTCTGTGGGTTGGTGATCTTCGCCAACCTAACGAGCCCTCCGAAGCTTTCCACCAACGTTCTTGTGTGCGCATCCAGCTTGGTATGCAAAGGTGCGGACATACAAAGGGGGGGTAAATTTGGTTTACAACACAGGCAGGAGCAACGGGCCATTCGGCATGCAACGCGATGGTGGTAGTATAGAAGGTGCTCGCAACGTGTGCCGGTGTGATCGTCATGCATCACGGCAGGTGGTGTTGGTTATTCCTACAGTAGAGCCGGAGTTGTGTGTCGGGTATGCCGGAATATGTCATTGACAATGGAGTGAGTTTGATGGCTTGCATTAGATCCTTACAACAAGAGGCAGGACAGACGTAGATGGAAGGGAGTGACCCGCACACGCTGACGCGTCCTGGGGGCACCGAAACTTATCCATGTCCACCAGTGGGTCCCTTCATCTACGGAACGTGAAACCTTCTGCATATTACGTGCGACTTCATGTACACGAACAACACCCTCCCTGGTTCCTTACGCTACAGTAGTTTACCACCGTGTGCTGCACAAATTCCTCGAATCTTGCCGAGAAAAACAAACGTCTGTTGCAACCGGTCGCCCCGGTGGTCTAGTTTGTATCCTCGGAGCCTTCTAGAGGTCAGGTCAGGGGTTCGAATCCCGGCGTAAGCGAGCTTTTCGTGCACAGTGAGTTTGTCTCTCGCTTCCGCTCCTGGCCTAGTGGATAGCGCTAGTTCGTGTGTACACAGAGGGAAGAGAGTGCTGAACTCTTCTCGCATTAAAAATCGAAGGCAAAGTAACGCAGGAGGGGAGGGTAGAGAGGGGCTCTTCTGTGTGACCATGGGTTGGAGTAAACGGCACCAGTGCTGTGAGCGCTGATTTGAAGTGAAGACAAAAAAAAAAAGCGAAAACACGGCATCCAACCCAAAAACTCTTTTTAGGCCCATGTTTATGGTCACCAAATCTTTGAAAAAAATCTTCAAATGTTTCCAAACAATTTGCGTGCGAATATTTGTCAGAGGAACATTTGAGTACCGCTGTTATGGGAAGGAGAGAAATATCTTCGTTGGGACTGTGAGTTTCGGAGGCGTTCTGGTTCGTTTTCAAAAAGCACGCGGCACGGAGCCCCCTTCTCTCACGAGCAACACGCGCACCCCAGCTGGCGCACA